TACACAGAGCAAGCTAAGAAATAGAAAAGGATGAGGAGAGTTACAGGGATACTATAGTCACCAGAACAATTACATATGATTGTATTTGTTTTGGTGAGTATAATCATTCCCTTCAGGCTTTTTGCAGTAAACACTGTCTTTCCAGAGAAAATGCTGTGTTTAAATTACAGCCTAGAGATACCTTCTGTGACCACTCCTCAGATTGCTGCTAGAGGTGCTTCCATTCACTGTCTCAACCCTCTGCATGGAGACACTGAACTTTCTTCATAGAGTCACTGATTAAATATTTCTAAAGTTGAGCTGTTAAAGGAGCACTATAGTGCGAGGAAAACAAGCTAGTTTTCCTGGCACTATAGGGTCATTGGGCCCTCCCCCCCACCCTCGGGGCATCCCTCCTGCTGGGCTGAATGGGTTAAAACCCCTTCAGCCACTTACCTTTCTCCCTCTGTGCAGGGGAACTCTCCGCCCTCTGCCAACGTCAAATCCAAATGAACATGCGTGGCAAGAGTCGCGCGCGCATTCAAACAGCCCATATGAAATTATTACTCAATGCTTTCCTATGGACATCCAGTGTCTTCTCACTGTGAGAAGCGCCTCTAGCGGCTGTCAGTGAGACAGCTACTAGAGGCTGGATTAACCTGCAGGGTTAAAACTAGAGGGACCTGGCACCCAGACCACTTCATTGAGCTGATGTGGTCTAGGTGCCTATAGTGGTCCTTTAAGGTCACTCCGGCACCATAACAACTTCCACAAGGAGTACTCTTACTATTACAACTGTTACATATTTGACGGGAGGAGTCCAGGAGGCAGGAATCAGCCAAGGTGAAGTACCAAAGGGTAAACCAAATTCGTAGTCGAGGAAAGCCAGGAGTCAGGTCAGGCGGCACAGACGATAGAACAGGCAGAGGGTCAGATGCCAGATAAATCAAACAAGTCAGGATAGGCACACTGAAATTAACACCATAGTAAGCACAGTAGAACTGAGTAATGAGGCAGAGGTAGACTGAGATTATATAGGGTAGAGGTATCCCCTTTCACATTCTATTGGTTAAAAGGTGATTAGTCCTTTAAACAAATGCAGGTGGACTGTTCCTTTAAGGAGCCGGTGTTCAGGCGCGCATGCGCCTAGTGAAAGTGAAATGACACATGGTTTCAGATGGGGCTTCCCGAGAGTCTGTGGAGTGGTGTGGAGAGCCGCGGCACCGCGTCCATGTTCTCGGTGGGCCGCTGTAGACGAAAAAGGACGCGGCGGGGGACCTACAGGTAAGCACGGTCGTGACACTTCCCTTCAGGAGTTAAACTGTTCTCAAACAGCTTAACCCCAAATTGAGCCTCCAGCGACAATCATAATGGCCCCCTGGCTTCTTAAATCTCAGTTTCAGGAAACGCAGAGAGCCGCTGGTCAGAGGCGCAACTGACTGACTGAGAGCAGTCAGCTGAACCTCTCAGCCAATTAGTGACACCCCATTCACAAGCCAGTTTTGTGAATGGGAAGTCATTGATTGGCTGAGAGCGTCAGCTCAGAGATTCCAAAAGACGGATGCCACCTGGGGGACCTAAGTATTGGCGCTGAAGGCTCACTTTGGGGTTTAACTGTCAGAGCACGGTGTAACCCCTTAAGGTAAGAGTGTCCCCTGGGGGCTTCGCTGCACCATAATAACATAATTTAGATGAAGTGATAACTTCAGTTTTTTTTCTTGTTATTTGGCATTAGAATATTTAGATACGGGGGGGGGCGGAGCCTAACTGCCGAGCCGGGAGGTTGCAACTCGCCTGAGCTCCGGCAAAAAAGTGCCCAAACAGGGGTAAATACCACTTGCACCGAGCCCATCCACAGCCAGGCTACTCACCAGAGGCTGGAGAGACACCCGGTGAACGAGAACACCGCGACGAAAGTGTCGGCTCCGAAATAGGCGGCAACTCAAACCGCGGCCTACCACGTGTACGCAGACGGGAGGTGGCCAGCCCCGCCGATCAGGTACCTGAATGCTTAAAGGCCAGTGTTGACCCCACCAGAGACCACTGCACCCCCCCCCCACGCCGGCAGGGGTAATTGCTAGCACCCCTAACAACTTACAGCAACTATGGGGCGCAAACACAAGAGGCTAATGCAGATGGAAAGGCAAGCGCTTCAGGACATAAGGCTATCCTTCGAGAGAGCACCCCCGCCAGAACCCGCAAGGGTGGCACTGGCACCTGACCGTTACAGTGAGCAAGGGGCCTCAGACGACTCCCCTGGAGAGCTGGAATCCAGTAACCCTCCCTACCCAGCTGGTGTATACCTGCAAGCTGACTCAGATGAAGATTCCTCCCCATCCACAAAAGGCGACATTAAAAAGTTACTAGTGGACCTAAGGGAGGTGTGGAAGTCAGACCTCCGAGAAACACAAGCTGACATAAAGGCCTTGCAGCATACAGTATCAGAGGCTGAGGTCAGAGAACAAGCTCGGGATACTCAACTCAAATTGACTACACAACGGGTGGAGTGTCTCGCCTCACAGGTCAAACAACTGCACAAAATAGTGACCACACTGGAGTCCCGGCACCGAAGACGAAATGTGCGCCTGAGAGGCATACCTGAACAGGTAGAAGGGGGAGACATACTGTCATATGTCCAAAAGCTGATTATCTCAATGGGAATTCAAAAGGCGACAGACACCCCATGCATCCTAGCTGCCTTTCGGGTGCGCAAAGCTGCAGCGGCACCAGCGGACGCGCCAAGAGACATTATTGCAACTACCAAAGATATTGCGGTGCGATCCGTCATCCTGAATAAATCCAGAGTAATGGGTCGAGTACATTTCGAGGGCCATAACCTATCCATCTACAGTGACCTCCCATTCCTTGTTCTAGCAGAAAGGAAGCAGCTGGCACCGGTGGCTAAGAAGTTGCGTGACTGCTCAGTCAAGTACCGCTGGAACGCAGAAGGCTCTCTGGCCGTCACACGAGGCGCGGACACATTCACCCTGACATCCTCGGATGACCCAGAGACGCTCTACCATAACTTAGGCCTATCGGCCACCAACGCGTTAGAGGGTGCAACCAGGACAGATACTCCACGTGAGAAAAGAACCTCAGGAAGAGCACACCAGCGGAGAAGTCCGACTAAACAACAAGTACCTACCGTCAGGGACAGTTCGGACACTCCATAGCGATTGCTAATAGCCGGACTATAAACTAATTATACTGACTTATGTGGTCAACCTCTACGCCCAACCTAAGGACCAATGCTATTGTTTTTGATTGACGCCTTTCATTTATCCTTTGTCCCTCTCACTTGTCACTTGTCTATGCTCTACATCTCTTGCTAACATTAGTGTGTTTGCTGAACCACACTGAACCGTATACTCTCTATTTGTTTATCCCTCGCATATAATGGCACAGAGATATACTTGCTTATAACTCTAATAAAATATAAAAAAAAAAAAAAAAAAGAATATTTAGATACCATGCTTTTCCCTATAAAATAGCAGCAGATCATGTTTTCCCCATGACACGTACATTTTAGATTTGAGGAAAGGTTTGAAAATCAAGAGGGAAACTCATATATAGTAATTACATTACAAAATTATTTCAGGCAGACATAGCATGTTTAAAGGTTTTTTTTTTTCAGTGTATAATTTATACTTGACCAATAGTGATGTCCCGAACGGTTTGCCGAACGGTTCGCCACGGACTCATCATTGAGTAAACTTTGACCCTGTACCTCACAGTCAGCAGACACATTCCAGCCAATCAGCAGCAGACCCTCCCACCTCCTGGACAGCATCCATTTTACATTCATTGTGAAGCTGCATTCTTAGTGAGCTGTCCAGGAGGTGGGAGGGTCTGCTGACTGTGAGGTACAGGGTCAAGGTTTACTCAATGATGAGTCCGCGGCGAACCATTCGCGAACCGTTCGGGACATCACTATTGAGCAATTATGTATATTATGTTTTGTTTACTAAAGTGATAATTCAAATTGAATTTTAAATTTAAAGGTACAATAAACACACCCAGACTACTTAAAGGATCACTATAGTGTCAGGAAAACAAATCGGTTTTCCTGACACTATAGTACCCTGAGGGTGCCCCTACAGTTACTCACCTTATTCCACCGCCGGGCTCCCTTACCTCTCCTCCCCCGCCGACGTCAGCCCCCCCATCTGACGTCAGCGGAGAGGAATGCGCATGCGTGGCAGTGCCGCACGCACATTCAAAGTGTCCATAGGAAAGCATTTCTTAATGCTTTCCTATGGACGCTCTCATGATGAAGGCATAATATGCCTCCAGCGTCGCAGATGCGTCTCTAGTGGCTGTCCAGAAGACAGCCACTAGAGGCTGGCTTAACCCCAAATGTAAACATAGCAGTTTAGATTTAGGAATACATGTTTGTATAGCTATTGTTGCTGTGTTCCTTTGAAGGGACATTATAGGCACCCAGACCACTTCAGTTCATTAGATTGGTTTAGGTGCAGTGTCAGAGTCCCCTTAGCTCTGCAAAACATTAGACAGCATGAGCAACTGCAATGTTAGCATTGCAGCACTATGTCTGCCTCTAGTGGCTGTCTACTAGACTGCCATTAAAGGCACTCCCTGCTTCCTTGGCGACTTTTGGTTGCCTGACGCTGGATGTCCTCACACTCTGCATGAAGACATCCAGTGTCAGTTAAATCCCCATAGGAAAGCATTGAGTCAATCGTTGCGCATGCACATTAGGTCCCCTGTCTGATGACGTCGGAGGAGGCAGAGCACCAAACCACGAGGGACATCAGCGCTGGGATCAGGTAAGTAAACAAAGGGTTTTAACCCTTTATTGGCCAGTATCCCTTTAAGTTCAGAGAAGCAGAAGTGAAAGGATATCTTATTTTTCCCGTTTGGCTATTTTAATTGTAAATTTGAAATTCACTTTGAATTCTCACTTTAGAACAGAGATAGTAAATATTAAATAAATCTGAATGCAACACTTTATATTTGCCTGACGTATTGATTAGACACATGAAGTGTAACTAACAGCTGCAGATAGAGAGCTGGGTGTGTTTCAGTACAGTTGCTGGAGTGACAGTCTAGCATTGGAATACAACCTCTCCTACTGCAGTTGTGTAACAATCCCTCCTACTGCACGATTACCTCACTTGGACAGTGTAAAATATCCTAGATACCACCGTTCACGAGGAAGTACTCGGCTTCCTCCCAACCTTTTCCAGGTAAGTTGAGTCAGATTTCAGCGTACATATGTCAACTTGGCTTTTCTGTTTTCTGTGCTCACACATATTCAGCAATACATGTTGTTTTTTTCCTTTGCTTTCTCGGCTGTTTTTTTTTTTCTTTTGTTGTTTTGCAGAGTTTTCCGTTTGAAAAATGGAATGTAAACTTTACAGCTATGCATGTTGTATGTCGCCTTTGGCTCACTGAACAAAACGTGTGGTACGGTCACTTTCACAATGTTTGTTTTTTAGACACTTTGTAGTTTATTCACTAAACACTGAATTGTATTGAATTGCAAAACTAAATTGCAAAATTAAGGCTAAAATAGCTACGCGTTGATTATACTTGAGTTGCAGATTGTGTTCCAAAGCAGCACTTTTTGTCTACATTTTGCAATTGTGTTTTCAGTTCACTATAACTGAATGTTTAGTTAAAGCATTTGTAAAACTACCATGCATTTCAAATTCATTTTCAGTAAATGTCGGCGACAATGAAGTACTGTTGTATATCAACTGCGGCAGAGCTGTCTGTTTCTGACATCTAACATGCATTAAAGCCTGTATGTCGTTTTAACATTGTGGAAACTGATTCAGCAGTTTTTAAACAATGTTAGTAACACATTTATATTTTACACCGCCACTGCTTGTATGTACCAACACATTAGACAGCATACACCTGGCCTCCCCTTCTGATTGGTTGTTGGGTTTTATTATGCTTTCTAGATTGACTGCTGTCATATTATCCATAGATGATGCAATTTATTCAGGCATTATAGTGTTTGTGGGCACAGCTGACACACATCGTGCATATACTTATGTTTAAAGGCACTATAAGCTAATTCTACTCAGTGCCATCTTAACAACATTATGGGCCCCCGGGCAAAGCAGTGCCCTGGGGCCGTGCCTACACAACAACTCACAGGAATACAAATGTAAATTATAGATAAAATTAAGCTTATATTTATTACTACCTCCAACATATGCAATACATACATACACACAGACTGCTGACACATTCACAGACTGCTGACACATTCACACACAGAGTGCAGAACTCCACGTGCTGTGGGCAGTGGTGTATCCTGGTTTTGTGCTGCCCTAGGCATGACAAAACTCAGGCGCCCTGGGGGCGGAGCCAGCTCTCGGCATGAACGGTCGCACTTCTCCTGCTCTCTGCCGACCGCAGCCCAAAACCGGACGAAAAAGACCCCAAAAGCCTTCCCTTCTGGTAACAGACGGCCTGCAACTACTCCCCCTGATATGGGGAGAAAGACCAAAAAGCCGCGGCCCGATCGCCCGCGATTTACGGCCGATATCGGCGATTTACTGAGGAGGCCGCATGGCGCGGCGGCGCCCAACATGGCGGCCGAATATGAGGATTTCTCAGAAAGCTCGGACGACACATCCCTCCACTGCCCTGAGACACTGGGGTACAAGGGACCTCCTAAACTCAAACAACAGCCGATGGGCTCCCCAATCACTACGGAGATTCTTACCTCTCTCCTGACTGACCTACGCCAGTCGCTCTCTGCAGAGATCTCCCAGGTAAGGGAGGATGTAAAGGGGTTCACTGATCGCCTCTCAGCAGTGGAGCAATCCACCCAGGCACAAACAGCACAAATAACAGAGCTGCAGAATCAGGTCAAAGACCTCTCCTCAGCCCACATCACACTCACCCACCAACTAGCAGCAATGGAAGACAAAAGGAGGTGGAAGCATGTTAAAATCAGAGGCCTCTCAGACGCAATTGCCCCAGCCGAACTTCCCCACCTACTCAGAAGGCTTTTCACAGCCCTCCTGTCCCCCAAACAAGCTAAAGGGGTGCAGCTAGATGGCATGTTCCGCTTACCCAAGCCGACACAACTTGCAAATTCAGCGACAAGTGACCTTCTGGTCAAATTTCAAAATGGGCAAGACAAAACTGCCTTAATGGGCTCCATCAGGGGACAAAATCCATACCGCTTTGAGGACATGGACTTAACGTTCTATTCCGACCTCTCACGCACAACACTGCAATGGCGGAAATCTCTCCGACCACTTACAGCGGCATTGACGGCTAAGGGAGTGAAGTATCGCTGGGGACCATCACACATACTCCTCATCCAACACCAAGGCAAGGAATATAAAGCGACGGACGTCGCAGAAATGGACACTGTCTTGACCGACATGGGACTACGGCCATCTTCAACCGCTACAACCTGGGATCCGACTAAAGTTGTCCCATTTGTTCCAGCATCCAGGGGAACGCTTGGAGAGCAGACTACCTGAACCGGGACTTTTGAGTTACTCTTGTTTTGCTTTTTGTTTTGTTTTAATGTTCTCCCTCTTATACACACCGCTGTAAACGTACAAGTTTACTCCCAGGGCATAGGCCCTATTGAGGGGTAACCCAGAAACCCCTACACACACATAGCAGGATTGCTATACGGCTTTTATTTGCCGCCGAACCGGGCAGAACCCGGACTAATTGGCTCCCTTTAATACCAAAACCCCCCCAGCTCCAACGCATTTACTCTACCACGAGATCACTAATTAGGAGCTGCACAAATACACTACCAGGTTGCACGTCAGTATCCTCTTTTATCCTCTCACTCACACGACAATCTAGGCCGTGCACAGCCCTCTCTGTCCACAAGGCCTTACGACCTTACACACGGCCTATAGCTGGAATTTCTAACTGATCCACAACACGGGCGTATTAACATACTCCCTCAGAACACAGGGTCCCATTTCACTTTTGACTCAAGAGGCACATAAGCATGCACCTTGCCTTCCACTGTAGGCATACTCCAGTCCATAAGCATATACGCCGACACTAACCATACGACCAGGATTGAAATTGCTCTTTTTCTATCCTATTTTCAGTGGCTGCATTATGTTGAATCTTTTATATAACCCTTTTAAAAAATTGTGCCGATACTCACATGCCATGCTATTGTTATACTATTCTATTGATTGCAGCTTGCTATAGCTGTCGTGGCTATTCAAGCGTATTGTTTATGTATGCACTACCAAAATAAAGAATTTATAAAACTCAGGCGCCCTCCCCTCCCCTCCGCCACCTTTCCCTTCCCCTGCCCCCCCCCCTTCCCGCCTTCTAAATACACACACACATTCACTGACAGACACACATACACTAGCTAACAGACACGCATACACTCTTACTAACAGACACACACAAACTAACAGACACACTCACTCACTCATTTACAGACACACACACTAACACACACACTCACTCATTAACAGACACACACACACACTCACTAACAGACACAGACACACACAATCTAATAGACACACACACACATTTTTTTTAATACAATCCCCCCAGCCTCCTTACCTTTGGGAATGCTGGGGTGGATTCTCATTTCCCTGGGGTCCAGTGGGGCTGCTGGCCGGCCGGCCGGCCGGCCGGTGACTGCAGGCGGCGAGGGAGCACTGTTCCTCCTGTTCAGCTCCCTCGCGCGCTGCAGAGTGATGCCTGGAGCCGTAATATGACGACATATTCCGGCTCCCGGCATCACTCTGTGGCACGCGAGCAGAGAGCTCACTAATCAGTGCTCCTTCGCCAGCGCCGCCTGCCCGCCTGGATTGTCAGTTAGCCGCTAGGGCTAATACGTCCCTGGCTGTGGGGGGTTCTGTGTGTGTGTGTTTGTGTGTGAGAGAGAGATGCTGTGGCTGTGTGTAGGGTACTGTGTGTGTTGCAAAGTTTGAGGGGTGCAAGTAGCACATTTAAAAAAAAAAAAATAATACTCTACATTAATAAAATCTTCACCCCCCCCCCCCCATCTTACCTTTGGTGAAGGAGGGGGGGGGGGACAGTCAGCTCTGGTGGTCCGGTGGATGTGAGTTCTGTATAGCTTGCAGCTTGTCTGGCTACAGGCTGTCTCCTATCTTCCCGCGTGCAGAATGCTGTGTGGGGCATTGCCATGGAAACGCGCAGCAACGCTCCACACAGCCTGCTCGCGGGAAGAAATGTCTTCCTGGTCCCTCCCCATGCCTCCGAGTACTGCCTCATTCTGTCTCCCCGATCAAAGGACCTTTGGGCCGGTGAGGAAGATCTCTGATCTCCTCACCGGCCCGAGAGGGCCAATGGCAAGAAAATCGGATCTCCCCTATCGGCCTGGGCACATGGAGAAAAAGGTAGTGTTTACATTACTGCCTAGTAACACCTCTAGTGGCAGTCACTCAGACGTTGACTGCTCCCCATAGATATGCACTGATTTATTGCATCTCTATGAGGAATATGCTTATTGGCACAGGGCAACATATTGCTACGCATGCGAAATAACCTCCCAATGCTTTCGTATGGGAAAGCATTGGATTAAGATTGATCATCAAGATTGATGATCTCAGCCAAGGAGGCAAGGTGGAGCCAAATGCAACAAGACCGTTGCGGCGCTTCAAAGAAAGGTGAGCAAAAATACTTTTTAAAAGTAAGCAGGGGGGTCGGCGGCCTAAATGATGATTTTAAAACTATAGTGTCTGGAATACATGTTTGCATTCCTGACATTATAGTGTGCCTTTAAGCAAGGAAGCCATCTATGCAAACTTCCCGTTAACTTTTCTCACGTTTGAATAATTCTATTGAATCTGTGGCATGCAAACTCCACACATGCATAAAAACACAGTGCTCAGAACCAGGGAGGGACAATGCATGTGCATGCACTATAATAGCACAATCTTGCAAGTGAGAAGGCTGGCTAGGATGGTGTGAGTAGCTGTGCATTCTTATGCCTTACATATACTTGGGTGGCTTATTCTCCAAATTATGTCAGTGGGAAGAGATTTACTGGGTTATTAAACACAAGCAAATTTTGCACCATAACCACTACAGAAGTATGAAAGTGTCCCTTTAACCACATTATTATTTGTGTTAATTTTTGCCTGATTTGTATACCACTATTTTAATTTTTTTAGCATGTGCATGTTAACAAGGGAAAGATTATTTAGCTCCACCTTTACTAAGTATCAAGACTGCCATTACTCCACCCCATTTCAGAAGCAGTTTGACCACTTTTAGGCCACTTCCACAAGGTTTTAGCCAATCTCCTTTGCACTGAGCTATTGTACTCACAATATAATAGGAAGGGGTAGAGCCTAAACAAATGAACTGCTTGTACTATCAGGTATGACAATGGCACACTCTAAATTTTTACTAAATTGCAATACATCAAGTACTTTAAGTGACTGATATTTCTTTAGCATATATAAGGGTAATTAAGTTTGCTCCAGCGGAGCAAAATGCAAGGATAATTTTCAAATTTATTTTGAACTTTCTATTTAAGTATTACCTATAGAAATTCAGATGCAAAGTTGAAAATAACCTTTAAAACATTTTGCAGGTTTTAAATACACGGTCAAGTGATTAAACCCCGTAGCAGTTTGCTGTCAGCTACAGAACAAAACAGGAAATGTTTGGATTCAGTAGAGAGGATAGAATTTCAGACATGCTCTAAACACACAATTGCTACCTAATGACCTCCTATTTAATGTGTTTGTGTTTTTGGAAAAAAGCTCACGTCACCCACTTCCTGTACAGGCAGCTAGTATGAAAATGGTCAAATAAAAACATAAACAGGATTATTCACAAATGTGGAAAACTAGATACAATTTTAAGTTTAAGACCTTAAAAAATAATTTTTCCAGTTTGCCTTCTTTGACCAAAAAATTTGAAATTCCCTAAAATTGACACTACAGTAAACAGAACAAAACAGGTTTCATTACAAATGGCCGCAAATTGAAATCTGAATGACATTTAGAGATATGCACATGTTTATCTAGATTTTTGTTCATCCTTTAGATTGTAAACTCACGGGCAGGGCCCTCTACCTTTCATATTGGTCTGTTTATACTGTATTGTCTCTTTCCTATTTGTACAGCACTGCAGAATATGTTGGCGCTTTATAAATAATATTAAATAAAAGATCATGCTGATTGGCTATTTATAAGAAATGCTATTCCAAATGTCCTTATTTAAGAGGTAGAGTCCCTAGTTTGGGCACTTATCCCCCTGCCCCTCTTCTCTATGATCTCAGTATTGTTGGGTGTGTCTGAGCATATAACAGAGCTCTACAGCAATAATAATCACAGCAATGTTTCTTTAAACCGCAATAAATGTTTATAAATCAGTCTGCAGAGATATAATGTGTTGTTTTTGTTCTAAATTACATTTTCGTTGCATAAATGATCAGTATGACAGCCACTAGAGGCTGACTTAACCCTGCAATGTAAGCATTGCAGCTTCCAAAAAAAATGCACTTTTTTTCACTGCAGGGTTAAATCTAAAGGTCCACTGCCTCCAAATCACTTCCTTAAGATGAAGTGACCTTAGTGGACCTTTAAGTGCTCGTTGGCAGCTGTTAGCATGTCAATAAATATCCAATCTGAGATTATAATTGTAATGCTATAATGGCTCATTGATGGGGATTAAAAATATATATTTTAAATGAATGCAAGAAAGAGACTGGTAGAATCTGCACTAATTTACAAGGCTCTCACTGAAAGCTGGGGTTCAGAACCCTTTTTTTTTGTTTGTTTTTTAAAGCAATGCATGGATTGCAAATATTGTGGCAGTGTCCTCTTGCTGTTCTAATGCTTTCTCTAAGTAGGTTATTTATTGGTGGGCATCAATAAATCCTGTTTCCAGGATGACATCTTGCAAAAATTGCATTTAGAAAGCATTTAGCTTTGTGCTACCCCATCTGGTGGGTATCATGGGAATAGTTGGCACAAATAAAACAAGGCGTTTTATGCGTGCAAGTGAGCTCCGGCCCTGATAATAAATTATTCATTATCTTTTATGAAACCTAACACAGATTTCTAGGTGCAGTATTTACTAATAGCTGGTACAAAGAACAGACTGATACTCGTTAACATACTGAACTGTTGTTTTTGCAATAGTTACAATTCATTTCATCTCATTCTTGTATCTCACTTTTATGTTATATATATTATTATTATTATTATTATTATTATTATTTTTATTTTAAACCAGGCACATTCGACTTTGTGGTTTAACTTGCTAAGAACCCAAGATGAAGCTGTCTATTATTGGGGCTACAGGTCAGACGGGACTTTACTTGGTAAACCAAGCCTTGGAACAGGGTCACGCAGTGACGGCTCTTGTACGAAATGTCAGCAAAATCACCATTCAGCATGACCACTTAAAGGTTTGGAACAACTGTATAACCTTGTCACCTGTGTCCCGCTTGTCCCTTTAATTGCTTATGGCCCAATATGTCACCATGACAGTCTGATACTTAACAACGTGTCATCATGTAAGGAGTATAAAAACACACTTACAAACTAAAAAGCAGTGGGTCACCATTGTAGATAGATATAGATATATATATATATATATATATATATATATATATATATATATATATATATATATATATATATATATATATATATATATATATATATATATTAAAAAGGAATTAAATAGCAAATAGTGCTCAATGATATAAAATCATAGATACAAGTAAATAAAATAAGAGGTACTCACAAAGTAGGAGCAAAACCAGAACTTTTTATTTATTTAATTTTTTTGCTCAATCCCAATTGCGTAGGTGGTATAATCCCCACCAAGGATATAGCTGGAGATTTTTTTTTTGAGTAAAGCCTGTAATTCCTGATGGTGGCCATGGTGCTGCACACCAGCATGAAGTAGCGTGTGTCCATTAAATATATATTAGCTGGCGATCTTATAGAGAAATGATCAACTGAAGGTAAAATAATATACCAGTACATAAAAAGAAAAATAAACACAATATTTTTATATAGATTTACTTTATATTTTTCTTTTTAGTCTTTTCGCATTTGCGTAAATTAATTGAGTAACAATTATCCTCCTTGATTCATAGGTTGTGGAGTGTAATATATTTTCATCAGAATCATTGGTTGAGCACTTTAAAGGTCAAGATGCTGTCCTTTCCTGTCTGGGCTTTCCATATAAAATGTTTTCGTCCATCAGTGGATACACTGACTCAATGGCGGCCATCGTGTCAGCCATGCGCCAGAGTGAAGTGAACAGGATTGTAACAATGACTTCTTGGTATACTGATAGTAAGTATCTGTATTGTACTTTTATACAAGCATCAATCTCTATATTGCAAGTGCTGCAGTGAGGTGTAACAGATGGGGGAAATCTGGGGGAGTTCTTTTAATAAAAACTGCAATTATTACCTGCTAAGGCTAACTCCACCTCTAGGGCTGTCTACCAGACAGCAAATAGAAGGACCTCAGGGTTTCTGTGTGACTTTTGGTCTCCTAAGTGATGCTGGACGTCCTCACGCTATTCGTGGGATGTCCAGCGTTACCCATAACCACATAGGAAAGCATTGTATATTGTTTTCCTATGGGGAAATCCCTAATGCAAACGCGGCCTTCATCACTCATGGGCATTAGATTTCCCCGCCAGCTGACATCTGGAGGAGTGGAGCCTGAGCTAGCGCCAGGGACATCTGCACTTGACTCAGGAAAGTGTCAGAAGGGGTTTTTAACCCCTTCTGCGCCACAGGTGGGGGACACCAGATAGTGTGGTAGACGGCCTCTAGAAGAGGAGTTAACCATAGCAGGTAATTATTGCAGTCTATAAAAACTGCAATAATTGCATGCTCAGGGTTATGTGTGATGGGACATTGCACCCAGACCGCTTCAATGAGCTGAAGTGGTCTAGTTGCCTACAGTGTCCCTTTAATTACAAAATCTCCATAGAATAGTAGCTAAATAATATCTATATGTTATAGCAAGCTTTAAATCGTGTCTATGTATGTGTGCTAATCAGACAACATTTGCAACAAAACAACTTTGAAACTTGATGTTCTGTATCCTGTAGTATATATCCATTAACTATAACTCACACGTTTGTGTTTATTTTCACAGCAAGCTCGGCTCAGAATTCTTCGTTTTTTGTGCGCAATGTACTTATACCTCTCATTAGAAGTGTGCTTAACAATATGCGTGAGATGGAGCAATACTTGGAAAAGGAATGCTCTGATATCAACTGGACTGTCGTACGGCCACCTGGACTCCAAAATATTACTGCCACGGGTAAGCAAGGGTGACCAGCTTTAAATATACACTGATCCTTTTTAATTAATGTATGATTTTGGAAAAGTTCCAGGTGTGCTAAACATTGGTAATCTAATATTTCAGTATAGAAAGTGCAACAGAAAAGATTGTGGGCATTTAAGAAATTCCAAGTTTAAAATGTCAGGTGTCAGAATAATGATGGCCTAATTCATAAGACAATCATATTGATTAGAACACTGTTTATAATTGTGTACATGATTACAGCTCAAGGTATAATGGAGCACAATGGAGATGCTGTGCACTATAACTTTTATCACTCTCAGCTGGGCAAATATTTCTGTAATTTGTATTGAGGTCAAAGGTTCTGGATAACTTCAAACTGTTGAACTGCAGAGTATATAGTCCATTACTAAGGCCTATCATACCAATAAAAAAATGATCAGTAAGTATTTATAAACACGTTCTGATTATTCACTAAAGTGAATGTTGACATGAATTTCAAATTTCAGGCCACAATAGTCAAACTGGAACATTTCTCTGTCTTCTTCCAGTTTGTCTATTTTGGCCTTGATTTTGAAATTACATTTATTTTACCAACAAATCTTTTAGTGAATAACCCTGCTAAGTTTACACATATGGAAGGGAGAGTATAGGCATGATCGAAACATACAAAGGCATTCACAAACCGGACTTTACATAGGACACGAGGCCATGCGTTTAGACTGGAAGAAAGAATATTTCGTCTAAGGCAAAGGAAAGGTGTTTTTTTTTTTTTTACTGTAAGAACAATCAGGATGTGGAATTTTCTGCCTGAAGAAGTGATTTTATCGTAGTTCAAACAGCTACTAGATGCATACTTGCAAAAACAGAATATTCAAGGATATAATCTTTCAATGTAGGGTAATAACTGCTTGATCCAAGGATAAATCTGACTACCATTCTGGGGTCAAGAAGGAATTGTTTTCCTAGTTTGTTGCAAAATTGTGCTTCAAACTGGGTTTTTTTGCCTTCTTTTGGATCAACAGCAAAAAACAAATGTGAGGAAGGCTGAACTTGATGGATGCAAGTCTCTTTTCAGCTATGTAACTATGTAACTATCATTTTATTAAAAACATTTAAAGTAGCCTTTTGTTTCCAGAGACTATCAAAAAAAAAAAAAAAAAATTTGTAAAAAAAAAAAAAGATACAGTTAATTAGAGGTGTCAACCTTGTAGTTTGAGAGCTGTAATATGGACACACTTTCTCACAGTGCCTGTAAAAATATTTATTATTAATTTATTTTATAAAGCGCCAACAAACTCCGTAGCACTGTACAATGGGTGGATTAACAGATACGTAATTGTAACCAGAAAAGTTGGATGCACAGGAACAGAGGGGTTGAGGGTCCTGCTCAGTGAGCTTACAGTCCCGATTGTATGATACATCATCTTCTTTCTGCAGAAAAAGAAATAATCACTCATGAAGGCTATTTTGTTCCTGATGAAAAAGGTTACCCAATAACAAACACTGTGGCTCGTGGAGACGTGGCAAGGTTCATGCTCTCTGCCATTAATGACGATCAATGGACAAGAAAAACTATTGCAATGTGTTGTAAAGGTTAAAGTGACTAATTACATCCACTTGGCACTCATGAAACTTATGTATCACACAAAACAATGCACGGTTATTGCATGATATTTTTTATGTATTAAATATTTTTTATGTAAAAGATCAATTTGTGAAATAAACCTATTCTGTACCTTCTGCAATTTTGAACTTTCCATCTCTTTTTGCATACTGGATCCACAAAGCTGTACACTTAGCATGGAATATTTACAAATAATTTATTTTATATTTTTTACCATTAAAGGGACACTCCACGTGTTTGGATTTCTAACACTTCAGTGTTTCTTTAAAGGAGAACTGTAACTTCTCTGGAAAATATTAAATAAAACTCCCCTATTGTGATGAGGATAGTTGGAACTGGCCAATAGCTTAGGAATTTTCTGGAAATGGCACCATTTCATAAAACATTACAATCACCTATATCTTAATGGGCATCGGGTGGGGGGGGGATGCTTTAAATTGTAAGGGGTGGAGACCTAGTGTACTTTCCCATGGCCCCCACCCATGCCAGCAGGTGAAGGCTCTAACATACACAATAAGGGGCATCAGGTGGGGGATACTTTAAGTTGTAGAGGGAGGGGACCTAGTGTACTTTCCCATGGCCCCCACCCATGCCAGCAGATGAGGCCAAACTATCTTGGCATGGGTGGGTGACAAGAGAAGGAGCCCTAGGTCCCACTCCTTATTATACATACTACATCCATTAGGCCCCTACAATTTATAACTATTAGGGCCTCCACCCACTGGCATGGGTGGGCGACAGGGAAGGGTCCCCCATTATTATACAGACTAGGGCTCCCACATGCCAGCATGAATGGGGGCCAAGGTAGGTAACACTAGGTTACCCCCCTCTCCCCCCATTTTATAACTGTTTTTGTTTTCCCATTCAACAGCTTAAGTGGAGACCAGGGAGGGGACAGTCCACCGTTATTAAACATATTTGGGCTCCCACCCACTTAAAGTTTAAAGTATCCCTGCCAGATGAGCATGCAATATGAAAGATTGGGTAAAATGTCGAGTACTGAGCATTTAAGTAGCACTCATTTAAAAAAATTAAAAAAATAAAATTTTTGGAACTGACATTACAATCCAGTTCAATCATTACAAAGTCAGGGCACAAACTGCAAAAGAGGAGAAAAGGAAACTGTTTTAATTGTCTTGTTCTCTATACTGATTGCCAGCTGCAAAGGACAGCATTTGAAACAATGAGAGATTAGGAAACAAGAAAGAGGCACTGTTCTAGGACAAAGCAATATGCGTTTTATTCTGTATTTAATTTTGACAGATATTTTAACTAAAAGTGGTAAAAACCCTGCAAAGTGGTGAAATGAAATGTTCTGATACGTTTTACAGTACTGTATATTTTATACAGCTGACCAACAGGTGGCACCAGAGTAGCAGTTTTGGGGGGAAATTAAACACACACACAATTATTCATTTATTTCTCTTTCTTTTGTTACCACATTTGAACATTTCCGTTGGAAACTGTTAATGGGCCTTCATTTTGTATGAAATGCCCCATGTTTTGCTGGCTGTAAGGTGTCAATGGCCCTGAAGTAGTTACGGTATACAGTACTTGTAACATACTACTTGGTATAAATGTGCTAGCTGGTTCCATGATAATCAAACAAAGGAGGGCAGGCAGGGAGCAATTGCCTCCAAGCTTATTAGTATACAAGGCTTGTGGACTACAGCTTCAATTCTTCTGTAGATTAAAAGAACAGGAAGTGTATTATGATATCCGTTGGTAGAGCGAGGCAGCAGGCAGAATTTGTCCAGGACTGTTGCAACCATGTAATATTTAGGTTTGTGGATGGCCATCTCAGAAGTCTATTGATCCGGACTGTCCCACTCGAACAGTGGTTCCAAACCAGTCCTCACGCCTCCGCTATCTGTCCAGGAATTCCAGATTAACCAGTGTCTTTTCTTTTCTAAAAACATCTTAGACACAATAGGATAATCACTAAATCTTGTACTGGTAGCGGGGGCGTCGGGACTGGTTTGGCAACTACTGCACTAGAATATTTCCTAAGATGCTGTAGTATCCAGGGGTGACCGTCGATTGATGTCCCTGTAGGTGTTTACAACTGACTGCCAGGTGACATGATTCAGTGCTCATGACATTCATAACACACGGTGGAGGTCATTGGTGGTAATGGAGTCACTGAGATTAGTGTCTGTGTCTGCTACATCCATATATTGCATGTGAATAGCATGAAATCTGTGAATAGCGAGCAGATAAAAGGCCATTATTTGTAATTGAGCCCGGGTCAAAATATTAAGTCTTCCCCTGAAAGCAACAGAAAAACCTTATGAGTCTACTGAATTATCTGTAGCAAAACCCAGGAAAGTTCATATCGTACACTTGTAATTCGTGCATTGAAATTTCCAGTTACTTCCTGTTGCCTGCCTACAAATCATCTCAAGGAAAAAATAAGAGCACTCTGTAGGATTTATCTGGCTATTTTGGATGTGACATGTTTATTTTGGTTTCCGTTACATGGTATAGAGTGAGTGTAATGTGTTTGCAGTTTACCTGTGTGTGACTGATTCCGGATGTGTCAAGTTGCAACATTATCTAACCGCATACCTCCCAAGTGTCCATATTTAGAAAGGACAGTAGCTATTTTGGGTTCAAATCCCTCTTTTTTATTATTCTTGGTGTGCCAGAGTATATAACAGAGCTCCACAGCAATAAAACACACAATAATATGTCTTTAAACTACAATAAATGTGTTCAGACATCAGTATGTGTAATTAAGATACATGGTTCTTGTTCTAAATTACATTTTAGCTGTCTAAATTGTTAATAGAAAGTCACTTAAAATTTTGCAGGACAGCCTAGCCCTTGACCATAACCCACTCACACCCCTAAAATGAAATTGCCATCTTTGTCTATTTAAAATGTTGGGAGGTAGGAATCAGTACTCTCAATCACCCAGTATCAGAGGTGCAATGGGGTTTCTAGATATGCATATACTGTATTAGTAGTAAAATACAGGACATTTAAGCTCTTCAGCAACACATTAAGGGTTGATCACTAAGATTCTGAGCTTGTTTGATCAGGGCCCTCTTCACCCTTTGTCAACACTTCTTTGTATATCTGTACTTGTTTTATATACCCAATGTATTATTGTTAAAGGGACACTATAGGCACCAAAACAACTTTAGTTTAATGAAGCAGTTTTGGTGTATAGATCATGCTGTCATGTACCCTTCGTCTTCATGTGACAAACACAGAGATAATTACCCCTCTAAGACTAAGAGGAGTGCCACTAGGCAGCCGTCTGCCATGATGCCTGGCATTTGCGGTAATAATCAGGAATTTCAGGGATTCCTTAATCAAATTAAGTACCATTTTGAAGCCTCACCTGGATCTTTTCCCCACTGATAGAGCTAAAGATGGGTACTTAATGAACCAACTACAAGGTAAAACCTTAGCTTGGGCTAATCCATTATGGGAGAGTAATAAGACTGTTGCCCATAATTACCAGGCATTCCTTGCGGAATTCAAACTAACGTTTGAACTATTATAATGCTTTCCTATGGACGCTGGCGTCTTCTCACTATGATTTTCACAGTGAGAAGCACGCAAGCGCCTCTAGCAGCTGTCAATGAGACAGCCACTAGAGGCTTTAGAGGCTGGATTAACCCTCAGTGTAAACATAGTTTCTGTGAAACTGCTATGTTTATTTAAAAAAAGGGTTAATCCTATCTGGACCTGGCACCCAGACCACTTCATTAAGCTGAAGTGGTCTGGGTGCCTATAGTGGTCCTTTAAGGGTCACATACGTAAGTCCTCTTCACCTGCAGGGGCAGGGTTCTTTGTTGTATCCAAAAATGATGGGGAATTAACAACCTTATATTGACTATAGGGCCTTGAACAAGATCACCTTAAAAATGCTTATCCCATTCCTCTTATCTCAGAATTGTTTGACAGTCTCCAGGATGCTAAGGTATTTACCAATCTTGACCTTAGGAGTGCTTACAATTTGGTAAGGATTAAGGAGGGTCAGGAATGGAAGACTGCATTTAATACAAGAAATGGTCACTATGAGTATCTTGTCATGCCATTCGGCTTATGTAATGCTCCGGTCATATTTCAGGATTTCATTAAAGGATCACTATAGGGTCAGGAAAACAAACATGTATTCCTGACCCTATAGTGTTAAAACCACCATTTGCCCCCCCCCCCTGGGCCCCTCATGCCTCCATAAATATAGTACAAATCTTTCTGTATTCAAGCTTGAAGCTGTAACTCTGCATGCTGTTAGACTCAGGAAAAAAAAGCAGTGTGCTGACATCAGAAGTGGTAGCTTGATCCAATCAAAATGCTTCCCCATAGGATTGGCTGAGACTGACAAGGAGGCAGATCAGGGGCAGAGCCAGCATGATTCAAACACAGCCCTGGCCAATCAGCATCTCCTCATAGAGATGAATTGAATCAATGAATCTATATGAGGAAAGTTCAGTGTATGCATGCAGAGGGAGGCGATACTGAATGTTTGGATGCATTTTAGGCAGCCATGACCCAGGAAGGATCTCTAACAGCCATCTGAGAAGTGACCAGTGAAGTTATCACTAGGCTGTAATGTAAACACTGCATTTTCTCTGAAAGGACAGTATTTACAGCAAAAAGCCTGCAGGGAATGATTCTTCTCACCAGAACAAATTCAATAAGCTGTAGTTGTTCTGGGGAGTATAGTGTCCCTTTAATGATGTTCTCAGAGACTACATTTATACTTTTGTATTAGTATATCTGGATGATATCCTCATTTACTCCCCCGATCTCCAGACTCATCATAAGCATGTGAAACAAGCACTGCAAACTTTGCTTGTAAATGGGCTTTATTGCAAACTTGAGAAATGCATATTTGACCAGACGGAAGTACAGTTCTTGGGTTATAATATTTCGGCCTCTGGTTTTCAGGTGGACCCTCGTAAACTGGAAGCCATCCTACACTGGCCATTACCTAATGGGTTACAAGCCATTTAAAGGTTTATTGGGTTTGCTAATTACTATAGGAGATTCATCACAGGTTTCTCTACGGTGATAGCTCCCATCACCAATATGACCTCGGCTAGTATATTGACTATTCTCCGGTACGTTAAGTCCGGCCATTCTAAGGTCCGGTTTGACGTTACCCTTTGGTCTAGGTGTGATACTATTCTGCGTGCTGGATCAACTGTAATCCTGACACATGCCCCATGCAGTATCACTGCTTAGTTCTCTGCCATTTAGAAGTTAAATCACTTTGTTTATGCACACTAGTCACACCTCCCTGCATATGACTTACACATCCTTCCTAAACACTTCCTGTAAAGTGATATCTAATGTTTATACTTCCTTTATTGCACATTCTGTTTAAATTAGGATTTCGTATCTTCTTCACTATTAATTGCCTTTTAGACCTGAAAGAGCCTTGTGTTTGTGATAAAGTTACATTTACAGAAAAGGAGATACAAACTTTGAAAGGAAGTTAACATGTGATTGGAAATAAAACTTTTTTTTTCCATGCATGTTGTCACAGCCAGGGTAGGTGTGTCTAGGGCTGCATAAACAGAAACAAAAGTGATTTAACTCTTAAATGGCAGTGAATTGAGCAGTGAGATTGCAGGGGCAAGATCTATACAGCAAAAGTGATTATAGGGATTCTCCAGTACCAGGAAAACATATTAGTTTTCCTGGCACTGCAGGACCCTGTAGTGCCCCTCTCCGTCCCATCCCCCCATCCCAAGTTGCTGAAGGGGTTAAAAACATAAGAAAGCATTATTCAATGCTTTCCTATAAGAGATTTTGCTGACGCTGGAGGTCCTCACATACCGTGAAGACGTCCAGCATCGTATAACACACTTTACGTGTTCTAAGAACATGGAAGCCCCTCTAGTGGCTGTCTGATATACAGCCAATACAGGAGGACTTAACCCTGCAAGGTAAATATTGCAGTTTATGAAAACTGCAATAATTACAGTTGCAGGGTTAAGGGTAGTGGGAGCTGGCACCCAGACCACTGCAGTGGGCAAAAGTGGTCTGGGTGCCTGGGTCCCTTTAATTAAGCTAACGTTGTTTTGGTGCCTATAGTATCCATTTAAATCCTCTGGAATATGTTTGCACTATATAAAAAATAATAAATTACAAATATTAATAAAGTGAAAATTGCTTGGAATTCAAAGTAATTTTTTAAATTGAATGTCAAATGTAATGCCAAAATAGCCAGACTGAACACAAAATTGACTTAGATAAGTGTTGAACTTTAATTTTTAATTCCGGTAAATCTCTTTCTTTTAGTGAATAACCCCTGTTAGCATATGGGCAGATGGTTATCCAGGCATGTATACCTTTATGGCTGGACACAAGGTCAGTTACACAGCCTCGCATAACCAATGAATCTATCTGCCATCTCTGTCGAACTTTCAGACCTGTCGAAAAGGCATTTTTACACACTGCATAGAACATCATGTCATCAAATCACAGTTTTGAAAGACAAGTATACAGTGCAGCATGAAAACAGCTACATTGTCATTTACTAAAATAACACATACTGTGTCTATTGTGGAGTGAGTTTAATCCAATCTCTGGACATCATTGTGTAAGTAAATAATGGTTTTGATTCAATGTGCTCCAAGAAAAAGCCATGATTTGTACTTTTCTTTGTTTTACCAGCTAGTATGCCAGTTGCTTTTTCTTTTTCTTTGCAAATTAGTTTTTATGATCTATGAGCATCTAAAACTGAACAAACCATGGTGAATAAACTACCATGCTTTTCTAATTATTATATAAAAGTGTGATAAAAGAATGATAAAATAGCAATGGAATAGAAAACATATTGGATATTGGATGGTGACTGGTTGTCACTTTCTCCCACCTGGCTGATACCACAGGGTCCCGGTCGTGCTCTTAAAGTTCTGCAGCGCCCAACCGGTTCCCTGTTCAGTGATACCGATCAGGTGGCTCTAAATGCATTGGCCATCAGATGGGCACCTCCACCCCCAGCTCTTTCTGGGTGGCCATTTTGTCTGCCGAATGCAGGCAGCAGTACTTCGTTATGGAGTGTATGGAAATCTGGTTCGGCTACCTGACCGTGCAAACCCCGGGGAAGATCATACCGCTGCCTTCTCTGTTTCCAGACAAGCTTGAAGAACGCTTTTCAGTGAACAGACTCTCCCGAACAAACAGACCATTCGCTCCCTACAAGCCAGGGGGAAACTTCGTTTGTTTTCGTATAGGAACTCCCGAAAGTTGGCAAGCAAAAGCATCAAATGGCATGGGACCACGTGTGCAGCTGGTCAAAACTTTACCCCGGTGGTGATTCGGCAAGAATACATGGATCTGAGCGCAATTTGGAGAACTTGGGCGCTCAGATCCAGGCTATCCTGAGATATAATACTTGTGGGTTTCCTAGTGATATTTTGAGGTGTTTTTTGTTAAATTTTGTACCTCTAGTGCCTGGGTGATAATTAGTTTAACCCCTTAAGGACCGGACTGTTTTTGCGATGTTGTACATTTGCGACCAGGCATCTTTTTACACTTTTGTGGTGTTTGTGTTTAGCTGGAATTTTCCGCTCTCTCATTTACT